TTGGTGCATTCAAGGAAATTAATTTTTTTGGGTGCTAATTTCAAGACTTGAACCATAAACATGACTTACAAAATAACACTTATTTATCAATAGATCTAACCCTTGGGGTTATTTTGGTGTGTGTATAACAAATGCCCATTTGCAATAAATCCAAACTTACAATACACACAAATTAATGAAAAATTACAAACCATTTGTGTGTGTGTATATATATATACACCTGAAAAAGAGAATGACATAGAAATTAAAAAATTTCTATCTATCCAAGTACTTACAATTTAAGCTAATATCTAATTAAGATTTACATATGAAACTGTGGTAAATATCACCACTATAGAGCTTTAAAGTCAATTGTGATACACAATTAGAGATATTTAGGAAATGACAATACGTAGCCGAACCAGCAAAAGTATCCAAAAGATTATCCCAACTAACGATTCTCTTAAGTACAGGTAGGGTTCCAAACCAGACATCAACTCTATGTCACGTGCGACAATAGCTCGCCAAAACAAAATCATACCGCTGATTCCTTTGGTATTTGTATGGTGTGGTGACAGATTTTTAGGCCAAAATATACATAACCAAAAAAGGAAAATCACATAACTGATTACTGCAATTAACCAATATTTATAATCAGCTATGAGATATACAGTAACAATAAGCGAAAGCATGCCTTGCACAACATTTACAACGATGAAAATCAAACCAATGGTTCCTTTAGTATTTGTAGAAGGCAATGAGTTATCTTCAGGATAGAACTTACGGATTCGGAGACTCCAAATCATGCTACCAATTACGTTAACTAACCAGACTTTATAGTCGGAGAGTGAAGATTTGATAGCAGAACATATGATGAAGGAATGTGCAACATGTAAACCTACCAAAATCAAAATCATGCTAATGCCTGTGCTTTCAGCTGTTGTATTTATAGAGGGATCTTGTTGCAAATCCAACCAGTACTTATCTAACCAACTCTTGAAACTGAACAATATAAAACAGATAGAGGCAATTATCCATGTGGTAAACGTGAACTCAGAGCGGTTATAAGTAATGGATCCAATGACTCCAATAATGAAACTAAACAACCCAAGATCTGTCCGTGGTCTCAATACCACTAGTAGACATAAAACAAACACTGCAATAAACAGCAAAACACTTATGGTTCTCAACGAATTGTCATAAAATTTTGCAAAAACAATTGCTAGAATAAAGAAGGTGAAGTTTGATGTTGAATTTGCCACGCAGATGTACCTTCCAAGGAGAATTCCTAGTTGACTCCAAGGCTTTGAATTTGTTAGCAGACCCATTCCAAAAAGCAACAATAATTGCATTTTGGTCCCTTCTTTATCATATTTTGAGCTAAACTCTGTATCTAGCAAAAGAAATGTTGCACAGAACAAAGCAAGTTTACCAATCACCTTGGCCTTTAGCTGACCCTTTGCTACTTCGTTGTTGAGATGCATTTGGAGGGCTCTAGATAGATTCTTCATCTTCTTAATAATCAGATCTAGCACAGCTCTCATTGTTGATTGACAATAAACCTTGAGAATTTTCCATTGATTGCTCACCTCCTCTTCAATCCAATCATATAGAAATATTACTCCAAAGATTACGTTGGTCACTGTCAATAGCGGATGAAACTTAACAACCAACCTCACAATCTTCACAATATGTGGCACTGCTGTTGAATCTCTCATATCTTCCATTGGTGAGTAAGATGAGAAACAATTCGCAGCATAGGTGGTTTATTCCGATCAATTCTTCATCATTGGATATTTATTACTGGTTAAAGTATTTTGTGGGACATGGATTGGTACTGGAGTCGGTCTTCCTTGGATTTGGAATAGTGTTGGGTCTTCTCTGGACTGCATTAGTATCGTCATTGAAATTTAGCGTGAGTCTGGGTCATTCGAAGTGAGTCTTCAAAGTCGTCGGTCGGCGTGGGGTTGGGAATTTGGGTCACTTGAGGAAGGTTTTCAAAGTTTAGGCCACTAATTTTTCGTGGGGTCTTACCAGGACTTTGATTAGTATTGGTATTTGACGGTGACTTAGCTTACTTCCTTTCTCCCTACAAAGCCATTTTAATTTTGCAAATATGGTAAGATGGCTTTTATCCAACGGTACAGAAACCGAGTTATAACATGACAAAGTAAATAACCCATCTGGGTGGGAGTTGACTTGAGACTTGCATATACAACAGGCACTGCATAAAGGCACAGGTACCGTGCCGAAGAGGTTGGAACAAAGAATCTCCCAACAACCACTCATAAATTATAAGAATTCATAATAAATTGTAAAGGAATTTATATTTTAAAGTCTAATGTACATATATTAAAAATTCAATTTAATCTATAAATTTATTAAAATATCTTTCTAGCACTGGTAATATCAGTACTTTCGTTTGAGATTTCGTGCCGAACAGCCTGCATGTGTTTGGAGAAGTCAATTTCCAGAAAATCAGTTTTGGCTTTTCTCTTAACCAAAGTTTATTACTATTGACCCATTGACCCATTATTTAAAGGGTTTTCAAACACTAAAAAATGTAAAAAATAATTTATAGAAGTGATTTGCTCCCAACCAAATAAATCCTAAAGATATATTTAGTTTGAAAGAAGTAGAGAGGAAAGGAATGAATTTTTTTATTGATTAAATTATAATATTTAAAATATTATAATTTAATTAATTAAAATACTCATTCACTTTCTTTATTTTTCTTAAACTAAATATACTATAAATATGAAATGGGTTACGTAAAAAGATTAGAAGGATCTTCTCATAATATAACACAGAATTAAAATATTTTTAAAAAAATATGAATTAATAATAAAAACTCACATTAATTATATGATATTAGCACTCGCAACACTTGTTGCATTGGATAGGGTGTATATATTCCAAAACTATGACCTTGGTTCTAATTCCTGTAAACCCCCCTTCCCAAATTCCCCTCATGTTCAAAAAAAAAAAAAATTATGTGATATTAAAATAAGTCAATCACTTCTAGAATGCTTTTGATTTACCGATGAGAAACCACGTCAATCATTAGGCAAAGTACGTCGAAAAATCATATTTCCAACTTGAATCACGTCGGTAATCTCTTATCAGTGTAAGTCTACTCCATAATCCATTCACCGATGTGATAAAAAGTCATGTCAGTGAATTTTATTCATATTACTGACAAGAATTAAATCTGTATATTCTCACCAGAAAAGTACAACCGACTGGTTGTCACGTTGGTAATTTACCGACATGACTCACATTGGTACCACACATGTTTTAATATTTTCCCTTATTATTTAGAAAAATTACCAACGTGGACCACGTTTGCAAATCACTCAGTAGGAAACCACCTACGGAGGTCAAAGTTTTGTTGCCAACCTTTCTCACATCGGTAATTAAGGTTTCTAAATATATTTTTAATTTGTAGGAAACATAAAATTCATTGTACTTTATTGAATTATTCAATCTATTTATTTAAATTAAAGATTAAATTATAAATGAAAAAATAAAGATAATAAGAAAAATATAAAATATAAATGAAAAACATAATAAAAAAATTAAAAATTACCTCAATTAGAGATATGATATTCATATAGCACTATTTCTTACAAAAAATGATAAAATATAAATTAATTTAATATTAACATATAAATTCAACCAAATAATACAATCAAAATATGATTGTAAATAAATTTAATTTATTTACCCAATGTTTTTCTCCAAATGTTTCCTACAAAACAACATACAAAAATGAAAATTAGAACTCTAAATAACTTGAATAGCTCAAATTAGTGTTTAATAAATTAAGAAAAAAGAATAGAAGAGAAAAAGAGAGGATATGGAGAAGAAATAAAAAAAAAAAAATAACATGAATATAATATAATTATAAACAAGAAAAATTAGAAGCATTTAATAGAAGAGAAAGATAAGGGAGAAAGAAGAAAGAAGAAAGAAGAAAGAAGAAGGAAGGAAGGAGAAAAAGAAAAAATGAGCAGGGTCTGGAGTTTTGGTATTATATAAAGGTACTTGGCTATGTGTATGACGCTAGAAATAAGTTTATTAACGTAATACACATAGGTAGGATAGGCACAATTACAAAAATTTTACATTTTCCTCCTTAAATTTATTGACAAAACACATGTTGGAATATTAAAAGTTGGGACTAAAATTGCAATTCCACTTATGTGTCTAGAAAAGTTTGTTTGATGGCCTAATCCATTAAAAAATAAATAAATAATATATATGCATAACCTATTTGGATATAACACAAAAATAGATAAGAAATGGTGATATCATTGAACCCTCACTGACCACTACTTGATCTATTAATTGTGAAAAAGCAAAAAGTTGAATTTCTCGCTGCTTGCCTCGCCGGAAAAAATGAAGAAAAGGAAACTGTAGCTGGAAGAGAAAACTGAAAATGAGAGAAGGCAGGGGGGTTCAACGGAAATGAGAGGCAAGGGGGGGTAGTTTCGGGGATTATGGTTCCACTTACGGATGAGATTAACGTTGGCGACGGGAGACGAGGTGCGGCAACTTTGCAACAGGCCTTGCAGTCTCACTGACATGATTCACTTTGGAATCTTTTACCGACAAGCCTCACATCTCCAATGGTATGTTTGACAGCACAATTGACCAAATTTACCAAGGTGACAGTTATTTGTAAATTTTACCGACGAGTTTCACATCTCCAAATGGATAGTGTTTGACCGGTTCAATTTCAAATGATTTTAGCTCACCGATGTGGAGTTGGTTGTTCATAATTTACTGACAAGATTCACATCTTAAAGTAGTTATCGGAAGCGTTTCAAAAAAGAAAAAGAAAAAGTAGTTATCTGAACATTTTCAAACTAATACCTTGCCGGTGTTTTTTAATTTCATCAACAAAATTATCATGTGAAAATTAAGTAATATAAATTAATATTATTTTTACTGTTTTACCATGTACAGACATTATATTTGTCGAGGTCAATTACCTACATCATACCCTAGTAGAATATCATTAGTAATATTACTTCATGCAATGTTATAAGATTTATTTTCAATTAGTTTATTGTCAATAAACAAACATTGAAAACAAATCATTGTGGTTCAGTCGATGTATTTTTGACATAATTTTAGAATAATCATTGGATATTTTTATTGGTTAAAGGTTTCAGCGGAGACATCGATTCGCATTAGAATGTGAATTGGGTCTTGTGTGGTAGGACTTTTGATGTGGGCGTTCTGTGAACTTGGATTAGTACTACTATTGATATTGAAATTTGGCGTGGATCTTCAAAACCATCATTTAGCATGCATCTGGGTCATTTGACAAGGGGTCTTCCGTGGACTTAGATTAGTATTATTGGTACTAGAATTTGGGGTGGGTTTGGTTCATTTAAGGTGGGGGCTTCAAAGTCGTCATTTGGGTGCTTCTGGGTCATTTGACGTGGGCTCTTCCGTGGACTTGGATTAGTATTATTGGTAGTAGAATTTGGGGTGGGTTTGGTTCATTTAAGGTGGGAGCTTCAAAGTCGTCATTTGGGTGCTTCTGGGTCATTTGACATGGGCTCTTCCGTGGACTTTGATTAGTATCGGCGTTTTACAATTACTCTCCTTAATTACCAACAACGAAGCCTAGTTTATTTTCTTTTTGTTTAAATGTTGTCCGCAGCGGCAATCGGATGCTTTTGCAAATTGTAGGATCATGTCTTTATCCAACAGTACATAAACGGATCATGTGTTACAATATGTTTTAATAAAGTACTCATTTTATTTTTTTAATAGATTTAATTTAATTTTTTAAAACATAAAATTTAAATAAAAATTAATATATTATATAAATAATAATTCAAATTTTTTATTAAATAAAAATACTCAATAAAAATTATATATATAAATTTTAATTATTATTTACATAAATTATTAAATTTTTATCTAAAATTTATATTTTAAAAATTAAAATTAAATTAAATTTATTAAAAATAAACAAGGGAAGAAAATAACTTATTTGCTTGGGTCTTAACTTCAGACTTACCTATACAACATGCACTGCATAAGGGCACTCTTGCCTTGCCGAAGAGGTCGGAACAGAGAATATTCTAAGTTCCCGACACGCAGCAATAAATGATAGACTCCATAAGGGGTAAAAGGAAATACACCTAATAGATGAAAGGTCATTCCATTATTACATTTTTCCCCCTTTTTTTTCAAAATATCTTTGAACCAACTTAACAATTTGACATAAATCCCTCCTTAAACGATTTTAGCACCAAATTATAGAGATCAAAAAGCTGGGAATTAAGTTGTGGAGTTCAGAAGTTAGAAACCAAGACTGTCATTTGACTACTAACAAAAACTGCTTAGAAGGCCAAAAACTTGACGTGGAGTGATTGACTAAAGTTGTCGACACGTTGTTGAGAGTATTGATCCCTTGTGCCATTTTTGCAAGTCCGTGACTGGCTTATTATTTTGGTGTGGGTCCTACTACTATTTTAATTAAGTTTTCTAAAATCCTATATATACTCATCCAAGTTAAGAATTAAGAGAGCTTTGGAAGCTTGTAGCAGTTCTCTTTTGGGCACTCTTAGAGATCAAGATAGAAGATCGATCAATAATATAAAATTAAGGATTTCAATTTTTTCAAATTAGATTTTGTTTTTCCTTAGATTATTTTTATCTATTGTTTGATGTTCTTATATTCTAATTATAATTTTAAGTTTTATTACTTTTGTTATGAACTGATTTAGCCAATTAAGTTTACGATGTTATCTAATAAATTCAATATGTGTTTTATAATTTTTATATTTTTTAGATTACTATTTTACGATGAGTACATATTATTGTTTTTAATGTTTTTTAATGCTTGATCACCATTAAAATTTATATGGAAAGCATAATTGAGATTGAAAGGAGATTTAATGCAATAACTAATAATAATATATACTATGAATTGAATGAAAGTCAAAAATGGACTAACGTCATTCGTGTAGCATTAGTGATATGTGAATTTAATTTTCTACATAAACTACTGAATTTTACAAAATATAATGTATCTTTATCTATTTAAATTCACAGAGATATATAGTGGATTAATATGTGAAGATAGGTTTGATATAACTTGAGAAAGTATATCAAATAAGATAGAAAATCCCACTGTCACATGAGTAGTAACATCTTGAAAGTATAATAATTTAAAATCTATGTTAGTTGGTCATGGTGAAGTTGATGCTTTAGTACTTAATATCTTAGTTCAGTTTATTTTAATTGTTATTTTCTTTTTAGTATTTTTAATTAAAGTTTCTCCCTTTTCGATTGTTTAAATAAATTTAGATTAATTATTTTTTGTACTTAATTAATCGCAATCCTTGTGGCTTTGACACTTTTCTCATCATTATATTATTTGAAGCGACTAGTACACTTGGTAGAGTTGATTTTAGCGCATCAAGTTTTTGGTGTTGTTGCCAAGGATTGTTAAATTTAATTAATATCGAAATTGATTAATTCTAAATTTAATTTGAACATTTTCTTTTTCTTATTTCTTTTCTTTGATTTTAGTTTCCATTTCCTTTGTTTTTGTTTTTACAGTTCTAATTATGGATCAAGTTGTCATAAACACTAATATGAATTATTAATGTCTTGCTCCAGAGTTAAGGGCACAAGTTGAAGCAATAACTATCAATTGGGAAGTAGAACTTGACAATGATGAACTTGAATGATTTCAAGCAGTTATTGAAAAGTTCAAATTAAAGAAAGGTATAATAAAACAATTAAATATGACTTGTCGATGGTGTGAATTAAAACATTTTAGTTCTAATTGCTATTTTAGACCATTTAACAAACGTGCTAATTTTTCTTATGATTTTAAGTTTCTCTTAGATTGATTCTTTGAGACAACTTACAAAGTCATAATTAATGACGTGAAAGGGCACAACTACTTGGAGGTTGTGTTAGGCATGAGCCCTACCCAACCTTAAAAAAATAAGAAATGAAAAGATTTAAGATTTAAGATTTAAGATTTAAAAAAAAAAAACTTAAAGTCCTACCAGAAGTCTATTGAGAGTTAAGGTTAAAAGATAAAAGGTGGCAAAAGCACCCCGTTTGCCCTTCAACTTTTATACTTTTGAGGCATTTTACCTCTCATATTACAATATATAAGTTTTTACCCTACATGTTTTCAAGTAAAAATTAAATTTTAAATGTATTATTAAAAATACAAATAACTCTAATATCAAAACACATTACTGATAGGCGTGTGGACATGGATTAGCATTGGAGTTGGTCTTCCTTCGACTTGGCATGGTATTGGGTCTTCTGTAGACTTGCATCTAGATCGGTGTTGAAATTTGGCGTGGGTCTGGGTCATTCAAGGCGATTCTTCAAAGTCATCAGGCAGCGTGAGTTTGGGACTTTGGGCCATTTGAGAAGGGTCTTCAAAGCCTGGGTCATTTATCGTGGCGTCCTTACCTGGACTTTGAATCTTAATTCGATTAGTATTGGTAATTGACGGTTACTCAATTTTCCTTCCTTTCTCACTACGAAGTCATGTTCATTTCGCAAATATGGTAAGATGGCTTTATCCAACGGTAAAGAAAACGAGTTATAACATGACAAAGTAAATAACTTAATTGGGTGGGAGTTGACTTGAGACTTGCATAGGTAACAGGCACTGCATGAGGGCACTCCTACTATGTCAAAGAAGTCAGAACAAAGAATATCCCAATAGCCACCCATAAATGATAGGCTCCATAATAAAGCATAAATGAAAATAAACCAAATTCAGGAAAAGTCATTCCCTGATTATGTATTTTATGGTCAAAGTATCTCTAAACCATTTATATACTTTCAAACTAATCTTAAACAATCTTAATTAAAAGCACTTGTTCCACACTTGTATGGTACACTAAAGAAATTCAAATTTTCATTCAATGATTCATCCACTAACAAGTCCCATAGAGGAAATATGGGTCTAATCTAATTTTCATCTTTTATCTTCAGCAAAAAAGTCCCCACCTCAAAAGATACATACCATTAGAATAATGGAGCCCCCTCAAAAGATACCTTTAATTAAAGCAAAATGAAGAGATTTGCTTTTCTAGCTCCAGAGAATGCTAATGCACTTGAAGAGCGAGAAGGGGCTTAAAACAAAACATATGGAAAATTACACATCACCATGCATTATGCAAATCGACATGATACATTGAAAAAAATTAACTATTTTTAGGTATTAATCTAGACTTATATCTGGTCTACAAAATATCACTTCTAACCATTAGATGAAGTTAACCATTATAAGGGGTTATAACTCTTTTTCCAATCTTATATATGAATACTTAAGTTCCTTGTAATGAAGGAACTTAATTAACTGGCAAGATTCTATCTAGTTCTCTCTAGTTCTAGTATATGTTTATTTATCATTAATGGATAAAATCAACAGTTGACAGATTAAAAGAAAGTAAATTAAAACGTGGGCTAATTTGTATCAAATCCCATCAGTTTAAGGGGTTCAAAAGAAATAATAAGGTCATCACAATCATGAAGTAATTGCAATTATTACATAATGGAACAAAGGCGAGTGAAATTTGATATCTTCTTCAAAAGAAGACATGGTTTCCCCGGGATAGATCTTTCAAAACAACTAAACGCAGTCATAATGCAAGATTCGTGGGTTGATTTGTAGATAATCCAATTCACTAATATGTACAAATTAGAAGGTAAACAACCATTCTTCTTAAGTTAAGATAAAGGGGTGCCATTTGATATCAATATCATAACAAAAGACCAGCTGCAATTAATCTAAATAACAATACACAAATAACTGAAAAATTGCAAACAATCAGTATAATATAGTATACATATATACATATACCTGAAAAAGGAAATGATACAGGTATATAAAATTTTCTATAAATCCAAGTACTTACGATTTAAGCTAGCAGTTAAGATTTTCATCCTTTTTGTCGATGATGCGTTGCTCTAGACAATTTGATCCAAGACATCATGACAAATGAAAACGCGCTAAATACCACCACTAGAGAGCTTCAAATTCAACTATGATGGATGGTAAGAGATCCTTGGGAAATGACAATACATAACCAAACCCACCAAAGAAAATAACAAATTGCCCCAACTAACCATTCACTGTAGTGATTGCGAGTTTCCAAACAAGACAGCGCCGCAATGTCGCATGTAGCGATGGATTGCAAAGACAAAATCATACTGGTGATTCCTTTGGTATTTCCTTTGGTATTTGTAAAGGGTAGTGGCTGATCTTTCGGCAAAAATCTTCGTAACCAAAAAAAGAAAACCACATAACTTGTTACTACAAATAACCATAATTTATAATCGACCATGGGAGATATGATAAAAACAAACATGAACATGCCTTGTGCAACATTTACAACAATCAAAATCAAACCCCTGATTCTTTTGGTATTTATAGAGGGCAATAAGCTATCTTTAGGATAGACTTGATAAATCCGGAGCCTCCAAATCAAGCAACAGATTGTCCTACCTAACCAGCCTTTATAATCTAACAAAGGAGATTTGACAACAGGAGATGCTAAGAAGACCGGTACAACACCCATAGCAGTGAATAACAAAGTCAAAATAATGCTAGTGCTTCCAACTGTGGTATTTGTAGGAAGATCTCGTTCCAAATCCAACCAATACTTTTCCAACCAGCTCTTGAAACTAAACAACACAAAACAAATGAAGGCAATTATCCATGTGGGAAACTTGAACTTAAAGCAGTTGTAAGTAATGGATCCAACGACTCCAATGATGAAACTAAACAACCCAAGGTCTGTCCGTGGTCGTAATGCTACCAATAAACATAGTAAATAAACAGCAATGCACAACATAGAGCTAAGGTTCCTGAAAGAATTATCATAAAATTTTGCAAAAACAAGTGCTAGAATAAAGAAGGTGAAGTTTGATGTTGAATTTTCCATGTAGCCACACTTTCTACGAAGAATTCGAAGTTGACTCCAAAGCTTCGACTGTGTTAGCAACTCAAATCCAATAAGCAATAATAACTTTGTTTTAGTCCCTCTTTTATCATATTTTGAACTAAACTCTGTATCCATCAGGAGAAGCATGGCAGAGAACAAAGCAAATTTACCGATTAGCTTGGCCTTTAGCTGACCATTTGCCGCTTCATTGTTGAGATGCATGTGGAGGGCTTTCGATAGATTCTTCATCTTCTCAATAATCGGATCTAGCAGGATTCTCATTGTTGATTGGCAATAAACCTTGAGAATTTTCCATTGATTACTGACCTTCTCTTCAATCCAATATCGCATAAATATTACTCCAAAGATAAGACTAGTCACCATTAATAGCGGATGAAACTTAACAACCATCCTCACAATCTTCACAATATGTAGCACAGCAGTTGAATCTCTCGTATCTTCCATTGGGGAGTAAGATGAGAAACAACTCGCGGTAAAGGTGGTTTATTCTGATGAATTCTTCATCATTGGATATTTACTGGTAAACGGTTTTTGTGGACATGGATTAGCATTGGAATCGGTCTTCCTTGGACTTGGAATGGTATTGGGTCTTATGTGATGGGACTTGGGACGTGGGTGTGAGTGTGGTTATGAACTCATGTTGATTTTGTTAAGATCACCTAATTTTATAATTAAAAATAATTAATAATTAATAATTAATAAAATATTTACTTTATTTTAATATTTACATTTTTTTTTGTCAGATTTAGTTGTTTCATTTTAGGGTGGCTTCATTTAATTATCTTATTTTTGAATTTAATAAGATACTAAACATTAATATTTTAATTTTGCCTTTATTTCCAAAAGGATAAAAATGCATTAAATTTTTTTGGTTTAATTATAAATAAAGGAAAAATGAAGAAATAAATTTTAATTATTGTAATAAATGAATTTTTTAATTATTGTAATAAATGAATTTTTTAATAATCATAAATGAATAAAGTGAGACAACTAAATATGATCAAAAAGAGCAAAATTAAAATCAATTTATAAATTAATATTTTTAGACATCATCATAACTAACTTATTAAAAAATTATACATAAATAAATATCAATTAAACTAAATAATTATTGAATAGTCTTAACAAAATAGTGGGATTATAACCGCACCCTCTTCTGTGGACTTGGATTAGTATTGGTAATGAAATTTGGCGTGCATCTGGCTCATTTGAGGTGATTCTTGTCATTTGAGGCGAGTCCTCAAAGTCGTCGTCAGTGGGCGTGGGTTTGGAACTTTGGGTCATTTGAGGAGGGTCTTACCTGGACTTTGATTAGTATTGGTATTCATTTCGCAAATATAGAAAGATGGCTTTATCCAACGGTAAGGAAACCGAGTTATGACGAGACAAAGTAAATAACTTATTTGCGTGGGATTTGACTTGAGACTTGCATGTATAATAGGCAATGCATGAGGGCACTCTTAGCTGCCAAGGAGGTCAGAACGGAGAATATCCCAACAACAACCCATAAATGATTGACTCCGTAATAAGGTGTAAATCCAAATAACCAAATTTATGAAAAGTCATCCTATTACTACTTTTTTTTATGGTAAAAATATTTTTAAATCATTTATACATTTTTCAGACTAATATTTCCTTCTTCTTTATACAATCTTAATCAAGAGCACTTATCCCACATTTGTACGGTGCATTCAAGTAAATTTAATTTCATTGAATTATTTCTTTACTGTTACATTCTCTCCTTAGTCCTTAGACAACCTTAATTGAGAGCACTTATCCCACATTTGTAGGGTACATTTAAGTAAATTCAATTTCATTAAACTATTTCTTTACTATTACATATCTCATAACTAAGATATAGGTCTATTTTAATTTTCATCTTTTAACTGAAGCAAAAAAGTCCACCTTAAAAAACTATTAACTGAAACAAAATGAAGAGATTTGATTTACTAGCTCCAGAGAAAATGTTAGTGAAGAATTCAAAAATAATTTGTTGATCATTTGTATTGACAACAAATAGACATTGACTAAATTAAATGATTTTCAAAGAAATTTTTTTTTTCACTTAGAATAAGATATTTAGAGTTCAAATAGTGAGAAGTGGGTTCATATGGTTAATAAAAATAACTTTGTTTTTGAAAAATATTTCATGTTCTCCTAAACATTGAATATGAAAAGTCATGATGAAAAATTGAATTTTTTTTCTAAACATTGAATATGAAGGAGAATTTTGCAGAAAACTTTGAATTTTCCTAAACATTGTGATGAAAAATTGTGGAAAAATGCAGACACGTTTTTGGCCAAAAGGAAAAAGAGGCAGCCACATGGGTGTTGTTTAGGGATGTTGTTTAGTAATAAAAAATGCTAGAAAGTTATAGGGCTTATTTAGGTTTCGTAAAAAAGTAGAACTTAAATATAGCAAAATTTCACAAGCATGCCAACAGTGACGGAGATTGACATAATATACGGGGGCCAAAAAATATTTTTCCAATCAACATTTAAAATAATATAAAATATAATGTATATAACATAAGAAATAAATTTAATAACTAATTATCACTTTTATCAGAATCAATTACAAGAAAAACTCATTAATAGTTTCATACTTTTCCATTAAAAACTCAACTCTCCAATAATATTAACTTATAAATAATACAAAAAAACTTAAAAAAATTTAATTACTCAATAAGATAAATAATACACGTGATTTAATAGCAAAGATTAAATTAATAAATTCATAATCAAATAAGAAGAATATTAAATTAATAATAATTCTTAAAAAGAAGAAATTATAAATATTTAATCAATTAACAAGAAAAAAAAAATACATTTTGGAAAGTTAGAAAAAAAAAAAGGGTGAAAAGGGTATGTTAATCCATATACTTTTTGAATTATTTGAAATTCACCTCTTTATTTTTTTTGAAAATTTTTAATTCACAAACTTTAATGTTAAAATAAATCAACTCATATATTTTTCAATTAAAATAAATCAATCCAAATTTAACATATGACGTCATGCCATGACATATTTTGTAAAATTCATTTCAAGCATGTTATGTAATAAAATAAATCAACCCATATTCTTTTTGAGTTATTTGAAATTCACCCCTTGTTTAAAAAAATTTTCAATTCATGTATTTTTATATTAAAATAAATCAACTTACATACTTTTCTATTAAAATAAATCAATTTAAATTTTTTAATTTGTAAGTTCTTTATGGAAAAAATTTATATAAAAAATTAATTTAGTTTTATCAATAATTTAATTAAATATTTTACATGGTATTAACATTAAAAATAAAATTTATTTTAATAATAATTTTTATATAAATTAATAATAAAAATATATAATAAATATATTTTTAATACAATGTAAATCAAAAAAATCCTCAAGTCATTGTGGATAAGGACATTATGTATTTTTTACATAAAATTTTTCGAAAGTCATTGAATATTTATTTGTTAAAGTTCTCAGAGGAGACATTGATTGAGTATTGAAATGTGAATTGGGCCTTCTTTGGTGGGACATGTGACGTGGGCCTTCCTTCAACTTGAAGGACTAGTAT